TTCCTTCTTCCCGCGCTTTCCTCCCCCAATGCTAGACTGTGCCACGTGCCACATCAGATCAATACAGTAAGATCTCCCGGTGCTTTCCTTCCCGCGCTTTCTTCTCGGTTCCTGCTTCCCGCTCTTTCTTCTCGGTTCCTTCTTCCCGCGCTTTCCTCTTCCAATGTTAGCCTGTGCCGCGTGCCACATCGGACCTAACACAGTAGATCTCCCGGTGCTTTCCTTCCCGCGCTTTCCTTCCGGCGCTTTCTTCTTGGCTCATTCGGTATATACGCCTCCCACGAGTCTCGATTCTGGTAATCGCCGCCGCCTCTGGACGGACTACCGTTAAGTAGTCGTCTGTGGACCAACGGCTCTTGGTATCAATCCCTCTCTCTCCGGAGATACTCCCAGTACGCCGAATTTGTCGCCTCCGCTCTGGACATCATTGCAGCCAGATGCATCCAGATCCTGCCCTTTTGCACTCAGATATATTTAGAAAAGTGCTACCCAGTGACAGTACTCGCTCACTCTTCAGCTCCTCACCCTCCGTCGCCTGTCTCCTCCACGTCACAAAACTCAAGTACTCTCCACAGAATGAGCCCCCTCGCACAATTGACCGACGTCTCTTCGCACAACTGTCCGACGTCTCTCTCTCTCTCTCTCTCTCTCTCTCTCTCTCTCTCTCTCTCTCTCTCTCTCTCTCTCTCTCTCACACACACACACACACAATCAGTCAATGAAAAACTCCATCCATTTCATTTTGCGCGGCGTCATCTCCATCGACTTCATTTTGCGCGCCGTCATCTCCATAGACATTATTTGGCGCGCCCGCCGTCCTCTCCATCGACTTCATATTGCGCGCCGCCATCGCCGACGAACGAACTGCATTGCCGTTCGAGCCGATCGACGGCAACCGGCAACCGTTATCGATGTCCGATGGACTCGAACCCTCAACCAACCGATGACAATCGATAAACGGCATATTGACGTTCTGGTCGACATGATAACAACCGGCAGTCAGTCGAACCGTCGCTCTCGATGAGTTTGAACCCGCGATCACTCGATCAATCGATCGAGTGGAGCGTCAGGACCCAAGCTCACCATCAACCGATCGATTCGAAGATCAATACAGTACAGTTTATCCAAACGGCACTCAGCTCAGAGAAAGGGCCTCGCTCCAGATGCACTCCACATGCACTCCACATGCACAAAAGACGAAAAACATGGCGTGGCGGTGTATAGTTCCAGGTTCTAGAGGAAGATTCATTCTCATTTTGCACAATTGCGGAGTAGTTAGTGGAGCGAGGCCCAGAGACGGAGAGCTGCCAATGCCATGGATGACACGCATCGAGGAAGCGTCCAAACAAGCAAGGCTACCGTCTTCCCCCAACGACCGCATTGAAAGCACCCTCAATTCGGAGCGCATCTGACCGGAAAGACCGCTATTATACGTACATCAGGAGGGTGCGTTGTGTTCGGGGGAAGACGGCAGCGATAACCACTGGGCCCCGAAATTGGGATATGCCAGGTGAGGAGGGTGTGGTTTGGATATCATGCAATTTATTTATTTTTATTTTTATTTTTATGTTTTTTTAATTTGGACCTTTTCTCGATTTATGCATGTCATCCTTGTATCGTTCCAATTTATTTTGGTGGATTTCCCAAAAAAAAAAAAAAAAAAAAAAAATGTTGGACGCTGCACGGAATTTCCAGCAGGCTCGTTATGCCCTCTACAACTACCGGTAGGCTCGTTATGCCCCTGAAAGATGCTTTTGGGCCGGGCCATACCACTCTTCAAAGGCTGAAAGGTTTCAAGGGCTGTCAGACTTTTTCAAGAATCAAGAATTCTGCTTTCAAGAGTTTTGGGCGCTTGGCCCCACAGCCCTCTTGAAAGTGAGGGCATACTCACGGGGGGACCAAAAGTCTTAAAATTTTGAGGCATTCGGTTCAGGTTTTTCGAGGCATTTGGTCCCCGTGTGACCACACGGAAGGACGAAGTGGCGACCCTGACACTTTGCACTCAGGGCAAGTGCGCCCCATTATACGGGAGAGGACCAAACAAAAAGATGGAATTTGTTCGCAGCCCGAGGCTGCGCTTACCTGGGTTGCAAGGTTTTCTTTCCTGTTTGGGAAATGTCGTGGACTTGAAATGAGCTTGGGGGGGGGGTGCGGTTGCGGCTAGGAGACTGACCGGTAGTGCTGGTGGTCGTCGCACGCATTGGGCAATTGGTCGGTTCATCAGGCTTGTGATGGGCGGCGACCACATTTCCTTTTCGGGTCGAGGGTTGAATGTTTTTTGGGGGGCTGTCGGGTGTTTTTTTTATGGATTGGGGTTTTTTTTCATTCTTTTGAAAAAAAAAAAAAAAGCTTTTGGTCGTTCGATTCGTTCATGAACAAGTGTGAATGAATGATGAATGAGCGAATGAATTGTTTTGTATGAATTTGACCCGTGTCAGGCAAGTGGGTTGTCCTGTCTTTCTTGTCTCGATTGGTCGTCTTTTGTGTCGTTGCGTTTTATTTTTATGATTTTTTTTTTTTTTCAAGCGTGAACGTCACTTCAGGGAACCGGTTCACCTTCATTGTTCATTTTGGTCGTCGATGAGTCTCAACACTGGCTTTTTTTGGGGGGGGGTAAGGGGTACGTAGGTTCAGGGTTTTTTTTTCGTCGTCGAAAGCAAGCCGCAGGGATCGTCCATTTGCTTGTCGAGGAGTCGACTTTGGCCTTTTTTTTTGCTAGGCGGGTTGTCGATTTAATCGTCGACGAGTCCTCGACTCTGGCTTTTTTGGGGGGTGGGGTCGAGATCGAAAAAAAAATCGAGTGGCTTTTTTTGGGGGGCGGGTCGAAATCGAAAAAAAAATTGAGACGAGTCGTCGAGAAAAAAAAAAATAATAATAAATTTAAAATAGGCGGGTAGTCGATTTGCGGTCGCGGCTAGGAGACGGACCGGTAGTGCTAGTGGTTGTTGCAGGCTTTGGGCAATTGGTCGGTTCACCAGGCTTGTGATGGGCGGCGACCACATTTCCTTTTCGGGTAGAGGGTTGAATGTTTTTGGGGGAGCTGTCAGGTGTTTTTTTTGTGGATTGTTTTTTTTTTCCATTCATTTAAAAAAAAAATAATAATGTTTTTGGTCGTTCGATTCATTCATGAACAAGTGTAAATGAGCGAATGAATTGTTTTGAATGAATTTGACCCGTGTCAGGCAAGTGGGTTCTTTTTTTTTGTCCTGTCTTTCTTGTCTTGATTGGCCGTCGTTTGTGTCGTTTCGTTTTATTTTTTTATGATTTTTTTTTTTTTCAAGCGTGAATGTCACTGAAGGGAACCGGTTCACCTTCATTGTTCATTTTGGCCGTCGACGAGTCTCGACACTGGCCTTTTTTTTGGGGGGGGTAAGGGGTAGGTAAGCTCAACTTTTTTTTTTTTGGCGTCGAAAGCAAGCGGCTAGTCGATTTGCTTGTCGACGAATCGACTGTGGGCTTTTTTTAGGCTAGGCGGGTAGTCGATTTGATCGTCGTCGACGAATCGACTGTGTTTTTTTTTTTGGCTAGGCGGGTATCGATTCGATTTGATCGTCATCGATGAGTCGTCGACTCAGGCCTTTCTTTGGGGGGGATCAAAATCAAGACGAGTCGTTGAACTCCGGCCTTTTTTGGGGGGAGAGTGAAATCGAAATCGAGAAAAGGGGTCTCGTTTTTTCGGTGACTGAAACCTGTTCTTCTTAGACAAGCAAATCGTTCGATTTGATCCTCTATCAGTCAGCAGTCAAGTTTGATTTTTTTTTCTTGTCTTTTGTTTGTTTTTTTTCCTTCTTTCTCGGTTTTTT